CTTTTACACTTAATGAACTAAAGTGGGGAGGGGGGAGTTTTCTGCCATTCTGAGGCAGGAAATACACAAAAATTATAATTTTATAATTTATAAATTATAAATAGTTACAATTAGTAATAATAGTAACTAGCAGTGCTGTAGCACTTACTAACCTTTTAGCCATCTTCTTAGTATCCAATTGGAAATTCGATTATATAGATTGTATTACTGACTTTTACTATTTCATACTGTAAATTGTGTAAACCACCAAGAATCCACTAAGTTTCAGGCTAAATCACATAGATTAATATAATAACTAAAAATAAAAAAAATGGTTAGTAAGCCCTAAAATAAGTTTAAAATGGCTTTTAAAAATTGGAGCTCATTGGTCTGGAAGATTTCAGCACCATCCCCAGGATGAAGGCTAGCTCAAAAAGAAAGATTATTGAGCAGCAGGACAGCTGATAGTCTAACAGAAACCCTGTGCTACTAAAATTACCAATTTCATGTTATACAGATACTCAAGATCTAGTGAAAGTACTTCATCAGAGTGATAGAACAACAGTAAAACAGTTATTTCTCTATTCTTTGTGCTGATGTTTCTTCCCTTCTATTTCATGTTCATATCATCTTTCATTTTATTGCTTTTTAACTTCAGTTGCACACTGCAAGGACTAGTTATTTTTATTTTATAGCATGCAGTCAGCTAAATTTAAAATCCATCTATTGGCATGGAATCCAAAACAATTCTTTATATGATAAAAACACTTTTATGGTGATTATATTTTCTACTTATAAACTAGGACATAGGCCAATGTGACTGAAATCTTTATTTTTAGATTGCCTCATTTAAGCATTTTTGTTCACAGTTGCATAAATGGCTTTTAAAATGGCTTTTAAAATTAAATCAACTGGCTGATTAAATCATGCTTGACTGTTGTTCATGAAATGTCCTAGGATTGTTGCTGATTTCAGTTTCTTTGACCATGTTTATCTGGAACTATCAGCCTTGGGGAAATATGGCTTCTATTTTTATTTTTTTTAAAAAAGGGCGAAACAGATTTTTTTCTTTACTGTAATGTCCAATCCAGCATCCAGGTTGCAGTTTTTAAATCAGTCTATCATTATTTTAATATTAATTAATATTATTTTAATTAAGGAATGTAAGATTTTATAAACATACTCAAATAGATCCAGTGTCCTGATATAGAGACTTTATATGAAAGAAATCTATTACTAAAAATATGCTTTACATCTGCTTCCTTCCATATTCATCTACAAAACCAAGATCCCTCACTATTGGAGGAATATGCATTCACAAGTCAAACAAAAAAGCATATTTGTCTATCTAGGGGAAGAAAGTAGAAATTTTTTAATGACCTGGAACATGAGGCTTTTATTTCTTTTTAAATATGATGATCAGATATTAATCACAATTTGTTTTAATAATTAAAGGGACATGTTTTACCACCAAAAATAGGTAGCTATATAAGAGCAAAAGCCAAAGGAAGTGACATGTTGGATATATGGGGTGAAGGAAAATGCATCTATCATGTCTTCCATTCAGTAGAAAATGGGTGTGGCATTTTTCTTTCCATGTTGATGAAGTTCCACAGGATGAGAGTGATGTGTGAATTTCAAATGCAGGGAAAGTTTCTCCGACAGCAATTATTCATGAGTTGTTGCAAGAATCATTACATTGCAAGCACAAATCACTTATCCTCCCCCTTCTACCTTCCCAGTACTTTGATTTTAGTACCTAAAACCATCTGAAAAAAATAACTTTGCTATATAATGTTATGCTCAAGCAAGATAGTATATCTATATGTGTCTATTTTATTTAAATCCTAGATTACCAAGATGCTTGTAACTCAGAAGCTTCTGCTATTATAAAAATATTTTGTCTAACCTGAAAACACATACATTACTGAAGTGGTATGGTATTTTGGATATGCTTATGAAAGTCAGATTAATATAGATCTCCCTCTTCTCCCTCCCCCCAACAGTACTGTGTATGGACAGATGGTCTGAATGCCCTACTTGGAAAAGATATGATGAGTGAACTGACACGTAACGACTTGGATACTCTGCTCAGTATGGAGATAAAGCTGCGCCTCCTGGATCTGGAGAACATACAGATCCCTGATGCTCCACCACCTATTCCAAAGGAGCCAAGCAATTATGATTTTGTATACGACTGCAACTAAAGCAATTCTCACTCCTCGGACTTACAACTAACTGGAAGATTTTTTTTAACGAAAAAAGAGAAAGAACAGGAAGAGAACAAGTGATGCACATTGGACTCATTGTTATGGTGGGACTGTAAAACAATTACTTCTCCCTTTGCTTTCTGCCTCTCGTTATTATCCATTGCTAATGAAAAACACCACTTCCATTAATGTTTTTCTGTTGGGCAAGATCAAATGAATGTTCCAGCTTAAAAGGTATCGCCAAAGGAATTTTCTTATTTTTTAAATGTTGGAGCATAGTTCCAAATAAAAGGACAATACAGTATGACCTAACAGCACAGTCACAAACCAGATCCAGCACTGCAGGTGCTTTAACAAGAGGAAAAGAAGTAGAGAAGAGATAAAGCTACAGTAAATGAGGTAGTGAGAGTTGTCTCCCACCACAGTCACTTCAGATCTTTGAGTCAACAGGAGATCTCAGTAAGAATGAAGATTATTAACCACTTGCAGCTTCTACACTGTCGTAGTTGTGATCCACCACCATCCTCTTCATTAACACCAGCATCATAAGTCAAGTGACTGTTTTTTTAAATAATTCCACAGACCATGATGCAGACATTTGTAGTCCCTTAATCGCCTTAGTATCTCATCTGAAATGTCCACACCTTTAACAAAGCCACTTGCTCTTTATGTCCTGTTGTACAATTATATATCACTAACTGAAAGCAGTGGGCATTTTTTAGTCCAGGCTGTGGTTGATTATTTTGTTTGCAAAATGGCAGATGCCATAGATACCGAAAATGCTGTGTGTTCAGGATTATGTTATAGAAATGTGCAGAGTATTATAAATTTGCAGGGGACTTGGATTTGTATAAAACATTGGAACAATACTTGCCAAATATATATTTAATTGAAAACAAAATTATATTGTGTGTACTTTATTAAAAAAAA